ACTCTATGTAGAAATCTAATCTCTCTCTAAAAACTCTCTGTCGTTCTTTAAAAACTCAATCTTTGTTTATCTTTCTAACAACTCTCTCTCTCTCTTTAGAATCCCAATATCTCTTTTTCTCAATAGAAACTCATTCTCTCTCTCTCTAAAAACTTATTTTCTTTTTCTCTCTCTAAAAACCCAATATCTATCTCTAAAATCTCGATCTTTATTTTCTCTAACACCTATTCCATTTCTAGAAATCCATCTCTCTCTCTCTAAAAACTCATGCTATCTCCTTAGAAACTCAATCTCTCTTTCTCTAAAAACTCATGCTATCTCCTTAGAAACTCAATCTCTCTTTATCTAAAAACTCATGCTATCTCCTTAGAAACTCAATCTCTCTTTCTCTAAAAACTCAATAGGGGGTTTTAAATTATTAAAGAAATAGTTAGCAACTTGTTTTTTCTTACAAGAAAAGTTTTAAGAGGGAAAAAGTTTATAGGTGCATTTGGCATAGGGATGCATCCGTAGGTATAGAGGTAAGGTGCACCTTCAAAGTTTATCATCTATATAATTTTGATGTAAAATGTTCTTAGGATTATCTCAAAATCTATTTTTATGTCTAATTATAAATTTTTAAATTAAAAAATGATTAAAATTAAGTAGATCTATACACATATGAAAATTTTGAAAATGAACGGTGTAGATAATATGTTGTAAAATGCACTATTTCTGACACTTATATAAGGATGCTAACTTATAAGGTAGAACTACGGATGCCCCTCAAAAATCCATCGAAAAAGGTAGTTTTAATGTTGAAAAACCCTTTGATTGATCATCTTTCGAGATGTATGACTATGAAAAATAAAAAGATTTTAAGTCTAGGAAATAGTGCATTTTACAACATATTATCTACACCGTCCATTTTAAAGATTTTCATATGTTTATAGATCTACTTGATTTTAACCATTTTTGAAATTTAAAATTTTATAATTAGATATAAAAATACATTTTGAGATAATCCTCAAAACATTTTACATCAAAATTATATACTACGATAAAATATGATAAAATTTGAAGGTGCACTTTACCTCTACAACTACGGATATACAAACTGCGTCCTTTGAAGAGAATGATTAAAACAAAAAACATGGTCAGGCTTGAGCTGGGGCCGGCCAGGCCTAATGGGGCTTTATGGGCTGGGCCTTATTTGTCAATGGGGGATTTAAATTTTCTAAACAAAAACTAAATGCCTGGCCTGAGTTTGGACGGGCCAGGCCCAATAGGCTTAATGGGTCTTCCTTGGGCTCTGTATAAAGATTCCAGGCCTAAGGGGCAGACCCTGGCTTTTTTGGGCTGGGCATTAATGGGTCTCATCATGGGCCGGGCAATATCGGGCATGGCCAGGCAATGCGGGGCTTCCTGGGCTCCAAGCCCAGGCCTGCCCATTGGCAACCCTTTGATTGGTGCTATGAATCCATAGATCTCAAGGACAAAGAGGGCGGGAGGCCGGTCTGGCTTCATATGTGTTTCAACTTGGAGGCCCAACCCTAAAAGAAATGATGGGGCATTGGTATCAGAGGAACTTATTCAAGTGCAGTCCCTTTTCAAAATCCACCTTACTTCATAAATTTATAAAAAGGAAATTTTAAAACTTAAAATATTTATTTTAAACTTTATTTTGAGCCGTTCCTTATGATTCCATTTTAAGATTTTAATTTATTTTTTCTTTCATATTGGTGATCGTAAGGAGACATTCAAATATAGACATCCTAAAACATTTTAAAAAATCCACGGATATACTAAATGATAGTTTAATTCAAAATTTTGATAAAAAAAGAAGAATATACAATAACATCATTTATTTTTTTATACAAGCCCACAATCTCCCTTTAAATTTCAAAAGCACATTGTAGCTTTCTTTCAAAATGCGCTGAAATCTTCCTTAGACACTCCTAAATTGGTATGACTATAGTCGGAGTCATTGTGACTTTGGTGTATAGAAACAAATGGTATCTTTGATTAATTGGTGTGGCTTGTATAAGAGTGCAACCCTTTTCCAAAATACACGATCACGGGGTACTTCTGATATTTGCCCAATTAACCTCTTAACTAGCATGTATAAGATAATTGTAAAAGTACTGGCAGAGATATTGAAGGGGATCCTCAACAGTAGGACGGATTATTACTGATCGTGTATGGATAACACATGAATGTAGTCAAGAGTTATGAATGGCAGGCTAGGAGCTTTGATTAAGTTAGATATTGAAAAAGCCTATGACAGGGTGGTTTGGGAGGTTTTGTTGGAAGTTATGAACTGTATGGGGTTTGAAGAGAGATGGTGCAGATGGATGGGGGTTTAGAGAGAGATGGTGCAGATGGATGAGGGGTTGTTTGAGTAGCACTTATTTTTCGGTGTTGGTGGAAGGGAGCTCCAAAGGCTTTTCAAAAGTCACTCGTGGATTGTGCTAGGGTGATCCATTATCACCATTTCTTTTTACAATCATGGGTGAAGCCCTTGGTAGGTATATTCATAATGTAGTTTTAAAGGGCATATTTAATGGTTCTTGAGTGACACCGGATGGATATGAAGTATCTCATATGCAGTATGTTGATGACACCCTCTTTGTTTTGTGATGCTAGTGTGGATCGGATAGTTAATATTAGAAGGATGTTGTTTTGTTGTGAAGCTGTGCTTGGTTTTAAAGTCTACTTTGAAAAAATGTCTATTATTGAAGTAGGGTGTGAAGTGGACTTAATCTCATCCCTTGCCTTCCATTTAGGTTGTAAAGTGGAAAAGTTTCCTATGACTTATTTGGGGTTACCAATTTCAGATGGGAGACTTCCAAAATTTGTATGGACCCAGTGCTTCAAAGAGTTAATACTAAATTGGATTTATGGAAAGCTAGACATTTATCCCAAGGTAGACAAACTACCTTGATTAAATCATCGCTTTCTAATTTGCTTGTATACCAAATGTCCTTTCTTATGATGCCCATGTCAGTAATGAAACCGATTGAAAAGCTTATGAGGTGTTTTTTATGGGGATAAGTGGAGTTTGAGAAGAAGTATCACCTAGTCAATTGGGATAGAGTGTGCATACCAATAAGGAAGGGGGGGATTGAGAATTAGGAGGTTAAAATATACAAATTGGTCTTTATGCGCAAAGTAGCGGTGGAGAGCGAGACCCAGCGAAGAATCTTTATGGATCACAATTTTGAAAGAGAAGTATGGTGTGGACCGTTAAAATCAATGGAAAGGGAGAGGTCGGGGAGCGAGATCCCAACCCTTCTTTTGAAAAGGGGTTTTGCAAAATAGAGGACATGGGAAGTTGGTAGGGGTCCACAAGTTTCTTTTTGGTATTATAAGTGGATCGGTGAATGCCCTCTGAAATTCGTGTATCGTTTGGTATTTGATACGTCGATGAACCACATGGATAAGATCAATAATATCTATGATTGAGAAAAGAAGGTTTGGACAATAAGTTGTTGGTATAATAGAGTTAATGATGCATTTATAGAGCAATATTCAACTGTATTACAACAGTTGGAAGGGATAACGTTATTCCACGATGTTAATGATGAGATGGACTTTAACTTTGGATAATCTTAAAAAAAGAGGAAGAAACATTATCATCACCGTATGGATCTTATGGATAATCTTAAAAACAGAGGAAGAAACATCACAAAAGTATGAATCTTATGTAAGGATAGTGATGTGACAAAAGATGCAAGGATAGTGATGTGACGTAAGATCATTTATTCTTTCACTGCTCATATGACATATGGAGTTGGCTTTTGGGTAGGTTTAGATTGGTAGGAGTTGGCTTTTGGGTAGGTTTAGATTGATAGCCTAGATTTTTTTACTTTCATGGGCTGCCAAAAAATGGTGATAAATTGGTGCAATAACATTTCAAGATTTCCATGGAGGCTTAGATCTACATGGCTGGCTCTAAAGGAGATCGAGAATGGTCTACGTTCATTATATAGACATATTTACAGGGAGGCTAATGAAGTGGCTCTAATGGAGATTGGGAATGGTCTATGTTTATCATATAGACATATTTACAGGGAGGCTAATGAAGTGACAGACTCTTATGCCAAGAAAGAAGTAAATTTGTAGTTACTTAAGATTTTGAATGCTCTATTTACTTAATATTGTTGTAATTCTTTACTAATCAATAAAGCTCCATAACATTTGTCAAAAAAAAATTTGATGTGCACCTCCAATTTTTATCATATATATAATTTTAGTGTAAAAACTTCTTTGAACGGCATCAGAATCTCTTTTCATCTTTAATCATAAAATCTTGAACTCCAAAAATAGTTCAAATCAAGTAGATCTATAAACATCTTGAAAATGGATGGTCCAAATAATATGTTAAAAGATACAATCGTTTTAGAACTCATAAACCTTTTTTTCTTTTTCATATTACAATCTCGATATCGAGATGATCAATTAATGAGTTTTCTAATATGAAAACAACTTTTTATGATGGATTTTTGAAGTGCACTTTAATTCAACATTTTAAGGTTAACCTTACATAAAAGTTTTTCATTAACATCTAATTAAAGAAAAATTTTATATAAGGTTAACTTTATTTGTAAAAATAAAACTCCCTTAATTTATACCATTCATTTTATTTATTTGGATGGCGTAGATGGAACATTTATCATGTATTGTACGTATCACAACCTCATTTCTACGCATAAAATTGCAACCTTCTACAAACCGCATCTCCTAAATGAGAGATTAAGTAGGGTCAATATTGTCTTTTGGGAAAGTTCACAAGGAGATACTCGCCATCTCGAAATAATAAGAGGTCCAAGGATTCAAAAATGCGCATCAAACTCTGAAATGAACCGACTCTGAACCGAACCGACGCATGAAGAAGAGACACCAGATGGGAGAGAGAGATTAAGAAATGCTAAAACGCCAAAAAACGCACAAAAACGCAAAACCTACAGAGAGAAACCTGAAAGGGAGACGGCGGTAGCGAATTGGCTCACATGATCATCTGGGAGACTGTGCTCTGCACTGCCCAATTAAAAAGCAGTGCAGACAATATTTTGTTAACCCTTTCCATGTTCAAGTCACTACATCCAAGAAAGCTCATTAATGCCATCCCATTTACAGCGAAGCACTAATCCCTATTTCCTATACCAGTAGAATTTAGAAACTCTAGTAATTAGAAAAAGAAAGAAGGTTAACAAAGATTAGCATAAAAGTCTTGATTCAAGAATCTTGATTATTGTGCTCCTAATTCTGAATTGTTAATGACCCAAATCTCTCTGCATTGATACTAGTAGTACTCCTCCCTCTGGTTTTTATCAATCTTCCCCAACAAATCATCTGCAAAAGAATATAAATTTGGATCAAAATCAGAGAGGTTGTGGCACTGGTAATGGAGCAGAAAACGCCCATGCAAGGTTTAAAGGAACAGAGCATCAAATGCAAGAAACTGGGCAAATCAAGAAAAGCTTCATTAATGGATTCCATAAATCAAATGGAAAATATATATAGAGAGAGAGCAAGAGAGAGAAAATAAAGAAACGAAGGGAGTCATCCGATTCCCTCAATATGATTTAGGAACCCAGTTAGGGGTTTTCAACCCCAAAACAGTCATGAAACCCCATCACATAAAACCCTAAAACCAAAACTCTCCATCAAAGATGGAGAACTCTAAAACAGGGGAAAAACAAGAGAGAGAAAACCCAACCTGATCTGAGCCTCAACCTCAACGATTGCTTGCCCTCTGGCCTACAATCAGGAGGGTCCTCGAAGAGAGAGAAAGAGAGCTGCTTATGAACCACCCCAATATCAAAGACAATAACACCAGAATGGGGGTCTGTAACCTTGATATCCTTAATAGGAAGCCACAGAAAAAGCTCTTCTTGAGAGAAACCTGCAACTCCCGTGAGCTCGCCATAGCTGAGGTTCCCACGAACTACTCGATCATAATAAACCATGCCGTCGAATTTGGCATAACAGGGTTGATCAAGATGAATTTCGAGGCGGCCATCGTCTTCAAGAGAGTAGGATTTTACGTCTTTGGGCAAAAGACCAGCTGGTAAACCATTGCTCTGCAGTAATTCATGGACCGCCCCTCCTTTGACAGGGTTTAGAGAGAGAAAGAAGAGGGAGAGTATGATCAAGAGAGGGAAGGAGGAGTTAGCCATGCGTGAGAGGAAGATGGGAATGGGAGTGAGTGGGGCTTAGGGGGAGGTTTTAGATAGATAGAGAGAGAGAGAGAGAGAAAGAGGGGTTTGTTGATCTTTCCTGCATGCAGGAGAGAGAGAGAGAGAGAGAGAGAGTTGGATTTAATTTTGGGACAGGGTTCACGTCAGGGGAGTTGAAAGCGCATAAGACGGAGGAAATTCCGAGGAATAGATAAAGACGGCGAAGTGCTTAATGATGCTTATCCCCTCGCCCTTCCTTGCACGAGAAAGTCACTATTATTCTTCCAATTTTATTTTTTATTTTTAATTTTTTTTAAGTAGAGTTGGTCATGTGGTAGTACTTCCTATACCCCAGTTAAGATCTTCATTATCAGTTAATGCACTAACGATTTTTAAAACGGATAGGAGCGTCGTCCCTACTGAATTACATAAAAAAAAAAAAGCGGGTTTAGCATGGCCGAATCGAGCTAGGGTTGGCCCTATGCTAACCCTCAACCCAAGCTTAGGCCCTTCTTTTTTAGGGCCCTTTTGTTGGGCTAGGCAAAGCTATTTGGCCTATTGCCAGCCCTATACTTGAATTTACAAAAATAAATAAAAAAAATTTATATAAAGACGTGGTTATATTCAATCAAATTTAACCTCACCTCAAAAAATTTCACTAAAAGAGCCTACCTTGAAAACCTCATCAATGGGGGGGGGGTTCTCCAATATGAAAATGGAGAACCCTCTTATAGATGTTTTCGAAAGTACACCTTACTTCGATGACCAACAAAATGGAAACCTTTTTGTATGTTGGGCCATCAAAGTTCAAACCTTGCTGCCGGTGTTCATTTAAAGATCATCATTTCCTTCGATTGATCCAAGAGGGGCCCCTGAAATTTTAATCATAACAGTGTACTAATAACAAGAGGCCATGTTGGTCGCTTCTTGAAAGGAGCATATAATAATGAGTACCCACCTTTTTTATTTATTCAATAAGTAATCGCATGAATACCGTGTCCTACCTTTCCAGCGGTCTAAACCCTTTTCAAATGGAAATATGGTTTCATGCGGGCTGGACCGCATTTATACATTATTCAGTCTAAAGGTACGAAGCCCTATTTTAAAGATGGATGACTAACCGTATAAATGTTTTTTTAATATAACTATTAAATTTAATTTTTTTAAAAAAATCATATTTATGATCTCCATGTTAAAGATTATATATTCTCTAAAAATTAGGATCGAATTATATTTAAATATATTTATTACCAAGCCTCCATTTCTATAATATGAGGGCTGGTACATAGAAATGGTGTCCTTTTCAAATTGAAAAATGGTTTGAAAGGGCTGCTGCCCTATCAAAACAAGCAAAGGTTCACGTCATAACTCATCTAAAATTGCAATCTAAGCATTAGTAAACCTTTACATCCATCAATCATCTTGGTATAGTTGTGAAAGAAAAAAAGGATTTCAAGCTTTATAAGAAAATAGTGTAGATTGTAACCAATCATCTTGGTAGTTCATTTCGTTTTAAAAATAAGTGTTCATAGATCCATAGGGTTTGTACCATTCTTTTATTTTTAAAATTTACTTTAAGCATTGAAAATTGATTTTAGATCATCATAGAGATTGCATTGCCGAAAGTGACTTCCAGGTGAGAATTTGAGGTAGGGCTTTATTTTGTTTTCATAAACCCTAGGCCTCATAGAAACTTCATCCTTTCAAATTTGCATTGTTTATTTACTTTTCTCTCTCTTCCCCATTCAAAGCACATGCTGACGAAGTGCTTTTATGGCCTCTGTAAGAAACAAAAGATGCGCCATTCTGTTACGCCATATATTCTTTGTTGTACTCTCGCGGACGGCCATGGATTCTGCCTTTTTCATGTTTTGGAAGGATCAAAAGGTTATTGTATAGCCTGCGGTTAGTATAATGTTTTTTATTTTTATTTTTTATTTATTTTTGAATATTCAGACACCTCTGAGTCTTGAAAATCTATTTTACCTAAATTATAAAAATTTAAAGCTTAAAAAATGGTGTATATAGAGTATATCTATCAGTACTTTGAAACTTTAAAAAAAAGATGGTCTAGATAATATTTTACAAGGTGTCTTTACTTGAATATATTGAATTTTACATTTGAATTAAGGAAAAAGTTCATATAAGGTTGCAACCTTATAATGTAGAGCTACGAATGCACCTCAATAATCCATCGAAAAAGGTAGTTTTAATGTTGAAAAACCGTTTGATTGATCATCTTGATATCGAGATGTATGATCATGAAAAATAAAAAGATTTTAAGTCTCAGAAATAGTGCATTTTACAGTATATTATCTACACCGTCCATTTTCAAGATTTTCATATGTTTGTAGATCTACTTGATTTTAACCATTTTTGAAATTTAAAATTTCATAATTAGATATAAAAATAGATTTTGAGATAATCCTAAGAACATTTTACATCAAAATTATATACCATGATAAAATTTGAAAGCGCACCTTACCTCTACAGCTACAGATGCTTCAGTATGCCAACTACACCTTTGAATTAATGATGAGTCATATGTTACCGTTCAAAAAAAAAAGATAATATTTTATAACATGCACTATTTCTAAAACTTAAGGTTTTTTTTTATTTCTTATTTCTAAATAACCATGCATCCCGATATTGAGATGATCAATTGTAGAGTTTTTTTATGCTGAAAAAACCTTTTTGGGTGTATTTTTGAGGTACACCTTATTGCTATAGTATAAGGTAGACACCTTGTGTAAACCTTTTCCTATTATATAAGTTGAAGTCTTTTATGGAGAAGAATTTTGTGAGCCAAGGGACACATGCGTCCCCTAACCATCCAATGTCATGTATGTTTAAGAAAAAAGCAACCAAATAGATGGTGTAAAAATATTAAGGGTTTGGTTTACATGAGGTTGCAACTTTAAACAATTGCACATCCAAACATTTTCATGATATGTAATTTTTGTTGAAAATATGGCCTATCAGGCTTTTTTATCTCGAGATTTTTTTTTTTTCAATAATGTTACAAAAGCCATATTATATAGTATATGTGAAATCTCATGTGGTTGACATGAGGCAATGCTATATACTAGGATCCATTTTGGAGCTTTTATAGGATGTTGCACTGGAGCGAAAACCCAATGTCATTAGACAAAAAACTCAGTGATGTGTTCGGATTTTTTGTAAGAATTGTTTTTCATATATATATTATAGATGTACAAAATTATTTAACTTCTACATATCTTTTATCAAATTGTAGGAATGCTTGGATGACATCCTATTATGTGAGTCATTAGTTGCACTAATTACATGTTTAGCTCATAATATAGGTTAACAGTTTAGTGACAATTTGTTAATCCTAATTGACTACAGTTAAGGGAATTAAGGAATGAGTTATATTTGGATCTCAACTCCTATAGACCATGAATGTGAGAGATACAAAAAGACGGTTCTTTATAAATAGAGGTTAACCCCTCAAGTAAAATGAAGATAGAGAATGATGTAAATTTGGTGAAGGTAATTCATCAAGAGGACTCTCAAGGTAGTCGGTCACTAGATGGCTTGGTCTATAGGTTTTGGTATGGAAGTCCCTCGTGTGATTTAAGGATAAATCTGAATAAGTTGTTTATCGATTTTATTTATTTATTAATTTTCATTATTGGGACTAATAATTTTTGTCTCAAATATTCTTAGGATGGTGCGAAAATCTATTTTTATCATTAGTTATAAAATTTTAACCACTAAGTAGTTCAAATCAAAGCAGATCTACAAATGCATGAAATCTTGAAAATGGACGATCCAAATAATGTATTGCAAGATGTACTATTTTTTCAGGACTTGAAATCTCTTTTTTTCTCTATATATCCATCTCGATATGGAGATGATCAATTAGATGTGTTTCCAACATCAAAATAATATTTTTCAAAGTATTTTAGTGGTGCACCTTAAGTCTACATTTTAAGGTGTCAACCTTATATAAAGTTTTCCAAAAATTAATTGCGAAGCATACATAAGGTGCCTCCTTACATTGTAGAAGTAAGGTACACCTCTAAATATTTCTTAGAGACGTAGTTCTAGAGACGTTATTTTGAAACCTTATTTTTCTTAGAGACGTAGTTCCAGAAACCTTATGATGGCTTGAAAATCTAATTTCATCCCATGTTACAAAATTTAAAACTTCAAAAGTGGTATAGATCTTGTAAATTTATAGCACTTGAAAATATTAGAAATAGATGGTCTAGATAACTTGTTACAAAATGCGTTATATTAGGACTTAAAATTCTTTTCTTCCACCTTACTTCATTAGTAAAAAGTTGACATCTTATATGAACATTTTCTAAAAATTTAAAATACTTTTTGTGATTTTATTTAATGTTGTTTCGTGTATTCAATATCATCGTAACCTTGATCATTTATCTCTTAAAATTTTGAATCTAAAATCCATCTTAAAATATACCGGGACACACATGCACATATGAGTAGGTAGACACAATTAAGTCCCATCCTTCTTTTATGGAATTTGGAAGAGGAACAACTGTCTATTTTAATTATATTTCCCACGGAAAATTGTTTCATGGGTCGAGGGACGTATTTCTACACATACACCCCCTTGGGTACAAAGCATCTATTTTAATATGGATACAAATAGGTGGTCCATCTAAAACAATTGAAATTAATGGTCCAAATTATTTCTTTATAACATTACTATTTTTAGTTTTTATAACCTATTTATTTGTTCATATTCATGATCTCCTTGTTAGAAATTATATGTCATTAAGAATTGGGTCCAAATATCCATCTCAAAAATGGGCTTTCAAGAGGAGACTCATTTCTCGATGAACTCATAGAAACGGTGTCCATGGCCCAATGCATGCATAAACAATTAATTTACCAAAATGATAATACGGGGTGACAACAAGTAAAGATAAGGCTGAAAATGGATGGCCGGGCAGCCCAGCTTGGGAAAAGTAGGACTTGGGCCACAAAATGTGGCCCAAGGGTAGGGCTAGGGCCAACGCCAGTGTGGTTTGGCCTGATCCTACCCTGTGGGGATAAGGGCCATGCCAGGGCCAAGGTTGTGGCCCGGGGTTGGCCCATTGCGATCTTTAGGTAAAGATGTCCTATTATGTGTCGGTCGTTCTCTCTGCAGGGGTGGTAGCGGGTCGGGTACGTGTCCAGCCGGACCCGGACCCGGACCCAAACCTAAAGAAATATTATGGGACCCTAACCCAACTAG